GCTAGAGCCGGACCCTGCGGAGGAGCAGTGCCGCCCTGGTCGGCCCCAGGGCGCGGCCCTCGTGGCGCCTCAAGTATGTGTGCCACAGGGCAGCAGTGGAGCAGGGAGCCCTGCTAGTGCCTCCCTTGCTGGGGTACCCCTGAATAAAGGTTCCCCAGCAGGATGCCGTGCTGGTGGAGTGCTGGGTGCCGCGTGCGTGGAGGGGCTGGCTGCACAGGCCCACCTCCTGCTGCAGGTCACCCCACTGCTGCCAGGGAGGCTGCCCACAGAGGGGCACATGGAGGCATCAAGACTTGTGTTTCACTCAGCCGAGCTGTCAAGAACCTGTCCCAGGTCTGTATTTGTAAAGAAAGCCTTAGTTAACGTCATAGACTGAAAAACACCTCATGTCCATGCGCAGCAGCTGGAAGGCCAGAGAGGAGGCCATCTTGTGCATCTGCAAGAGGCCTGTAGAGGAGGCCATCTTGTGTGGCAGCAGGAGGACTGTGGGGGAGGCCATCTTGTGGCTGCCACACAAGGGATAGGGAGTGGCACAGCACCGTAGCACCAGACCGCATGCTTGGGGCTTGGGAAGTGTGAGCTGCATGCCCTTGTTACAAGACAAGATTCTGTGTGGAAATAAGTATGCAGCCAGGCTCTAGTACTGTCTGTGGGTTGCCATTGAATGCAGTGAAATTATGCAGAGCCAGAAGCTATGTGGGAGCCATCTTCCCACCTGCATGGAAAGTCCATGCCCTGACGGTGGGAGCAGAGTGCAGCACTGAGGCTTGGAGGCCCTGGGCCTTCAGTAAATCTCCAGGCTCATGTTGTTTGGAGAGTAGATGACACTTGAGGTTTGTATTTATGAAGAATGTTGTAACCTGTTACTTACCTGATGTGTCACTTGCTCCACTTTTTAATAGCATTCTCCATATGTCTGACACAAGGCTAGAAATTATTTTGCTTTTTTATAATTCTGCTACATGATTGACTGCCCAAGTTGTTCAGTACAGAGTCCAGGAAAATAGGAAAGATTTGACACAATGGAGGAAATTCATCACAGCAAGCTGGTGTACACATTACATTACCAGGAATATGTTGCCAGAACATATATTTCCTTGTATTTCCATATAACTTTTTGCTGGCCATTTGGGAACAAATGGGTCCTGTGGTGGGCTGCATGGCAATGAGAAGGCCTCACCAGCCTCTTCCACCTGAAACAGAGGATGTTGGCGGGAGGAGGGATTCTTGGGCTAGTTTTGCCATAGCATTCCAGGAGATTTTAGGCTGGTTGCAGCAAATCAGCTACTGGGATATTTTGAGCCAAACAACAGCGTGAAAAAGGAGGACTAAAGATAGAGAAGAAACAGAGAATGAGGGAATAGAAGGTTTGAAAGGTGCTCTATATACTTGATAATGAGTGGCTATTTTGACAGTTGAGCAGTTTCTTACCTTCCATGGTCCTGGTGATGTGTCATACAGATTTACTGGAAACATTTTTTTTTTTTCTTTTTTCCATTTCATCCTTTGACATCTTTGGATTTTCACTTTTGCTTAATGCTTAGAGGAACCCAAAATTTCATAAAGAAATTTAATTGCCTTAGTTGAAGGTGAGAAATTGTCACCAATTCTGTGGTGGGTTAACTCTGGCTGAGCACCAGATGCCCACCAAGCCACCCTGTCACCCTTCCCCTTTCTTCTCCCTCCTCCACAGAGAAAAGGGGAAAGGAAAATAACATGGAGACAGAACCCTTGTGGGTAAAAACAAAGGCAGTGTAATACAAAAACAAAGCCAAGCAATGCCATGTGTGGAAGCAAAGAGAAAAAAAACCAAAAATTTATTCCTGCTTCCATCCCCAGGCTATGTCTGGCGTTTCCTGGGAAGCAGGCCGTACGTCAGGGCTCCAAAACGCATGGCAGTTTCTTCAGAGGACTGAGGAGTAGCCCCTCCATCCCCCCACGCCCTTCTCCGCTTTGTACTGGCTTTATAGTTGAGCTGATGCCATATGGTCTGGAATATCCCTTTGGTCAGTTCGGGTCAGCTGTCCTGGTTATGTTCCCCCCAAGCTCCTGCCCCCCCATCCCATGGTGGGGGGAATGTTAGAAAGAGCCTTGGTGCTGTGTGAGCACTGCTCAGGGGCAGTCACAATATGGGTGTTACCAACACCCTTCTGACTCCCAACACAAAAGCTCTGCACCAGGAGGCTGCTATGGGAAAGTCAGCTCAGCCAGACCCAATACAACTTCCTAGTGCCAAGAGATAAGAGACACTCTTTTTTTTTATTTCACAAACTTTGTTTTGCAGCTTCAAATTTTTTGTCTGTTTTAGTAGTTGATGGGGAGGAGGAGCTGAATGGGTCCATTCCATAATTTTACCATCTTTGCATTTGCCCTAATTTTCAATTCTGGCAGATTTAGTCTTCTTACCCTAATCTCTTTTGTTCAATTAACAAAGTCCTACAAGTCACTACTGAACATGAGAAGCTTAATAAAATCTCATCCACAGATCCAGGCTAACCTACCAAATGCTAATGGCTTTTCTTAGCAGTTACGTGGTGGAGGTAACCTGCTCTTTTGTCTTCTGTCCATGGCACAAGCCAGTGCACTGGGTATCTTTCCTTTTAGTCATGTGCTCCTGCATTTTTAGGAAAAGACTGAAGTAATTGGTTCTTCAGGTTTGACAGTGACTGCTGTGAAGGACTTTGGAGAGTGGAACTTGGAAGCTGGAGCACTGGTGCTTGCAGATGGAGGCCTTTGTTGCATTGACGAGTTCAATAGTATCAAAGAACATGACAGAACCAGTATCCATGAAGCAATGGAGCAGCAAACCATCAGTGTTGCAAAGGCAGGGTAAGTCACATGCTAATATATGTGATAAAACAACATAAGGTGTTTCTCTTGTACTTAGAAATTTTGTCATGCTGATTAAATATATCTGTTTTCTTTGTTGTACTTAATAGTTTTGTTCTATTTTGTGTTTTTCTTGACCTTTGCTATGAGTGATCATAGTAATCATATGTGAAATGGGGAACTTTGTGATTTTTTTTATTGGATCTCAGAAGGTAGGACTTCATTTCTCCAGAATGTGTCAATACTGGATGGTGACAAAAGGAGACCGAGAGATTTCCAGGCTGCTGAATTTTATGTGTTGGGCATGGCATGAATATAAACTCCTGCTTACTTTAAGTTACTAACTTTTTCAAAGTAGTGTGTGTTCAGATCTGCTGTTTCCACCCCCTTACCACATTGAGCTCACATCTCATTCTCTCAGTCATATGCAGCTCTTCTCCAGGTCCAAATCATTTCATAGAATCATTAATGTTAGAAAAAGATCTCTAAGCCTGTTGGTTCTAACCATCAACCCAACACCACCATGACCACTAAACCATGTCCAGAAGTACCACATCCACCACCATCCACATGTTTTCTGAACACCTCCAGGAATGGTGACTCCACCAGCTCCCTGGGCAGCCTGTTCCAATGCCTCACCACTCTTTCAGTGAAGAAATTCTTCCTAATGTCAAATCTAAGCTTACCCTGGTGCAACTTAAGCCTATTTCCTCTTGTCCAATCACTTGTTACTTGAAAGAAGAGACCAACCTCCTATCAGATAGTTGTAGAGACCAGTAACATCTCCCCTCAGTCTTCTCTTCTCCACACTAAACAATTTCAGTTCCCTCAGCCACTCCTCATAAGACATGTTCCCCAGACCACTCACCAGCTTTGTTGCCCTTTTCTGGACCTGCTCCAGCAGCTCAATGTCTTTCCTATACTGTGGTGCCCAAAGCTGAACCCAGTACTCAAGCTGTGGCCTCACCAGTGCTGAGTCCAGGGGCACAATTGCTTCCCTGCTCCTGCTGGCCCCACTAGTTTTGATCCAGGCCAGGATGCTGTTGGCCTTTTTGGCTACCGGGGCACACTGCTGGCTGTCCACCAGCACCCCCAGGACCTTTTCTGCCAGGCAGGTTTCCAGCTGCTCTTCCCCAAGCCTGCAGCGTTGCCTGGGCTCACTGTGGCTGGGGTGCAGGACCCGGCACTATCACAGCCATTTCCGGGCTGGTGTTCATTAATTTAAAGTCTTACATTGGTGCATGGGAGGTAAGGGGTTTATTTCCCGTTGGTTATGAGCTAATAGGAGATCTGTGGTCCTTTGCCTCAGTTAGAGAAGAACTTTGGACGTGAGGCAGCAGTTACTCAGGAGTTGCCTAGATATAGTTCAGTGACAAGCCAAAGTTAGAATACTTCTGCTGCTGCCTGAACTGAAAAGATTACATCTGAACTACTAGAATAAAAAAAATCTCTCCCCACGTCTCAAAACACACGCCAGAATAACAAGGTTAGGAGAGGCAAAAG